CACGACGTCATCAAGGTAAACAAGACATGATTGCCATTTGAGCCCCGTGAGAACCGTATCCATCATTCTTTGAAAAGTAGCTGGCGCTGAGCATAGACCGAAAGGCAACACTTTAAACTCGTACAGACCGTCGGGAGTAATAAACGCCGTCTTTTCGCGGTCGCGCTCGTCCACTGCGATTTACCAGTAGCCGCTACGCAAATCCATGTAGGAAAAATATTTAGCGTTGCGTATACGGTCCAACGAGTCATCTATCCGGGGTAGAGGATAAACGTCCTTTTTGGTGACCTTGTTCAGTTTACGGTAATCAACGCAAAAACGCAACGTACCATCCTTCTTCTTTACTAGCACAACTGGCGAAGCCCAGGGACTGGTCGATGGCTGAATGACGTCGTCCTGAAGCATCTGCTGGACTTGGTCACGTATAGCATCTCGCTCTTTTTGCGACACCCTATAGGCATGTTGTCGGATGGGTCTCTCAGTAGGTTCCGTGATGATACGATGTTGAGCAAGTGGCGTCTGTTTAACCTTTGACGTAGTGGCAAAGCAGTCTTGAAATGAGCCGAGTATACGCAAAAGGCTTTCTCGTTGAGCCGAAGGTAGTCTCTCGTTTACGTCGAGAGTGCTCACGAAGGCCTCGTCAGGGTGCCCATTCGATGAAAATGAAGCTAACGTAGATGGACCATCGGCATCGGCAAGTTCTTCACAATATGCAATGGCAGTGTGTCTCGTTAGGTGGCGATATTCGTCGCTGAAGTTTGTGACCAGCAGGTGAGCATGCCTATTGCTAGGCTGAATGATTCCTCGGGCAACACAGATTTGTTGTGAAATAAGGAGAGACAAATTGGCCTCTGCAATTACCGCGTCAGACAGGTCCTGTCCCAATTCTACTTTGACAAAGAGGCTGCTTCGAGGTGGGAGAGTCAGAGAATCGTCGGTAACACGGAGCGCTCTTTCCCGGAATTGCGTAGTGTCAGTTGCAGCGCAAAAAGGATCCTCGAACGACACAAGTATTTCACGGAGGTCGATAACGGCGCCGTATTCACGAAGGAAGTCCATTCCTAGAATGACTGGCCGGGAGCACACGCGCAATACGAGGAAAGAGCCCGCAAATGTTGACGTACGTATTCGAATGCGTGCCGTGCACATACCAGTAGGCGTCACCAGATGGCCACCTGCCGTGCGCAACTGAGGTCCTTCCCAAGGCGTGGTAACCTTCCTCAGTTCAGACGCCAGTGTTGCGCTCATTACGGAATAGTCGGCACCGGTGTCGACGAGGGCGTTAACAGCACGATTGTCGACGAAGACGGCAATTTCGGCAGAAACAATCTTTTTCCTGTCGGAGAACACTGCAAAACCGGAATCGCCCTTGTCTGGTCGTTGCATCGAAGGAGGGTCTTTTACAGTTCGCCGGGCCGCGACTTCACCCCCAGAAGTCGCCGTTCCTAGTTTCCCCTGTGGGGACTTGGTGACCGGTTCCTGAAAGGAGCGGAAGACGATGAGGGCAAACTGGGTGACGTAGACCGGCGAGGCGATGGTGATCTCGACTGGTGGGTGAAGTCGCGAATAGTCGAAGGAGTACGTTGGCCCGTGATATAGGCTTCAATTTCGCGGGGGCGCTCACCGTAGCGCGGGCATCGAGCATCAGGGTGGAAGCCGCGGAGACCTAGTTGCCGGTATTGACAGTTCCGGTATACGTGACCCGCTTCGCCACAGTGATAGCAGAGCGGACGGTTATCCGAGGTGCGCCACATGCTTGCCTTGCTACCACTTTGTCTTGAGATAGACGGCGAATAGGCGGGTGGGCTCGAAAACCTTGAGCCGAGAGGTGGGCTTGAAGCAGTGTCGTGAAATGGCTGCATAGCCTGGTACCTTGGCCGCATAGCAGTATCTGTAGCCGGTGGCGCAGGGGATCGCAATGCCGCTGCGTATGTCAGGACTGGGGCCTCGGGAATCGGCGGTGCGATTGGGGCTAGGGGTGTGACGGCCTGCCGGACTTCTTGTCTGATTACATCCGCGAGGGCTGACACAGGTGGATGGCATCCCACTGCCTGCAGCTGTCGCAATTCGTCCCGAACGATACTTCGAATGAAGTCTGCGAGGGTCTGTCTCTCGCTGTCAGAGCCGATAGCGCATGTGGCGGCCGGGATCTGGCGTTCGTATTGAGACGACCGCTGCTGCAGCGTACGTTCCATCGTAGCTGCCTCACTGATGAACTGGGCGACTGTCGTCGGTGGATTTCGCACGAGCCCAGCGAAAAGCTGTTCTTTTACTCCGCGCATCAAATGGCGCACCTTCTTTTCCTCAGGCATGGCAGGGTCCGCGCGCTTGAAGAGTCGAAGCATGTCCTCGACAAACATGGATACACGTTCGTTTGGCCGTTGGTTTCTGCTGGATATGGCTTGTTCGGCCCTCTCTTTCCTTTCGGTGTTGCGATAGGCGTCACGGAGCTGTCGGCTAAACTCTTGCCATGTTGCAAAGGAGCCCTCGTGGTTCTCGTACCACGTCTTCGCAGAATCCTCCAAGTAGAAATAAACTCGGCGCAGCTTGCGAACATCGTCCCATTCGTTGATACTGGCAACCCGATCAAAGTGGTCTAGCCAGTCATCAACGTCCTCGAAGATGTCTCCATGGAACGGCTTTGGTGTCTGTGGCACGTGAAAAACATGGGCGAGAAGAGAATCATGGCCATCGCTGGTTTGGACCGCCTGGCTTGTCATCGCAGTTGCCATCTTTCTTGGTGTCGATGCCAAGGGACCAAATTCAGGGGGTAATCCACGCAGGCGGCGGCTGATTCTTGCTCTGGGAGATGTAGCTGTCTCCACGATGGCCGACACAGCCGAAGTACACGTACCCAGCGTCTCCACCAGTAATGTCACGAACAAAACAAGACCTGCAGCCAGGAGTTCACTTGAACCAGAGCAACGAAGATGTTCTCTTCTTCTTCGTCCCCAAACACGCGTATGAGCCACAGTGGCTCGTTCATCAATGGTGGCAATATATATGAAGACGCAGCAGAAAAAGAAGCGCACTGGCTCTGTAATAAAACCTAAAAAAGGAAGCAAGAAAGCACAACGCACGTTGAAACACTTTTAATAATCTCAAACGTTTCAGCCGAAACATTTGTGATTATAAAAAGTGTTTCAACCCAAGTCACGCTTTCTTGCTTCCGTGTATGTATTTATATGTATATATATATATATTAGGGAAAGAAGTTTATACTTAAGAGCTTGTATTTTGTGTGAATTGTAATGTAAATGTGAAAAAAGAAAAGTGGGTGAAAAGATAACTTGACCTGGGCAAAAACCGAACCTGCGAAACAGCGTTATTCGAAGGTTGCAGGTTTGGTTCCTGTCCATGGCAAATTATGTTTTCACCCACATTTATTTCTTCACATTTACATTACAATTCAGTCTGATACCTTCCCTTATACTTTCCTTGGCATTATTGTCTGTTAGATTATATATACATATATATATATATATATATATATATATATATATATATATATATAGTGTATAAGCTAGTGATAGTGAATATTTAAGAATCCTTGTACATGTACAACACCAGTGACTGGCTCTCTATGGCCTTAAAGGATGTAAAACAAGTTTTGGTTGATACATTATCTAGATGTATAAATCTTTGAAACTGCGTGTAGCCTTAACATCACTTTAGAAAAGTCTTGAAGGAAGTCTGTACAACTCCTTGCAATTGTATATCTATTTGAAAAATCGTACAGTACTGTCATTACAAATAACTTACATTGCAATTAGAAATAATATACATTTATGTAATAATTAAAGAAAACCTTTTGCTGAAAGATTTTATGGTGCTTCTATGGCATCTTTAATTCTGGCAAATGGTTGGCTCAAGTATTATTACCTATCCTAAACGCATTTTCGTTTATAACAGGGGAGACTTGCAGGTTGAAGCATCTGATGCAATGAACTTTGTCGTTCACACAGGATATTATCAACACTTCTGAACAGGTGTGTCTGCAGAAAAATCGCTATTAAAGTACTCTTGACTCAGTCAACCTTAACTTACGTTGGTGAAGAAGTCAATCATGGCTTAAATTAATTATGAGCCACAAGCATGAAAAGTTTGAGAATAACCATACTTATGCGATTGTAATTCAATTAATTTTGTCTTAATTTGAAATACGAAGTTGGGGTCGACCTAAAATCTAATGCTAATGTCGGTTGTAAAGTCTTTCTAAAAATAATCCCCGCATATTTTTGCAAAGTAAGCTTTCCTGTATGTACAACTTTCAAGTACTGCCGTGAAGCCACCTTGGCACACCAAAATTCGATTTTGTTTTTTGTTGTCTTTTTCCGAGACACTGTAAATAATTTTTCAGTAAAATGTTCTTGCGCTCTTTTTTTCTCTTTTTTCTATCATTCGATTTTAGGGGTGTTGACCGACATTCGAGACGACTCACAATCACGTAAATATGGTAACACTATTTTAGATGTTTTTAACTACGTATATGAATTTGAGGCAAGAATTTTCATTAAAAAATTCTACCCCAACTTCAATTTGCAATCATAAATCATTCAGCACATTTTTCAAATCATTACATTTGAGTTAAGGCATGAAAAAATACAAATGTGTCAATTCCATGTAATATTTGCAGTATTCGCATAATGTTACAGTTCTGGCTTGAGAGAGCAAATGATCTAATTGTACAAGAAAAGGTACCATTAAAATAACTATGTGCGTTGATAACTCCTATATCTGCATAATATTCTGCATAAATAACAAGATGCTTTGATAAGCTCATGAATCTGCATAATATGCATGCTTAGCCTCCTGCAAATAAAAAAAATTAATTTGCCCTAAATTGTTACGTTTATTATGCTATTATAGTAAGTAGTATAGAATCTTTTACAATGATTCAGGATAGATTCATGAATAAGATGATGACTGAACACTCGAGCAGCAACCTGAAAGAGATCTGGCATGCAAGCACATGCCGAAAAGTCGCAAGGGGCACAGACCTCGTTCAGTTGATTGACGATACGGTTGAATGCAGAGAGCCAGTGCAGTTTCGCTTTCGACATGCCAGGCTCTGCTGTCACTGCAACCAAGGGAGGCCTGTCGTCATCGCCAAGCAGTGAAGCGGTCAGTGAAGTGGCTTTGGCTACAGCCGGTTCCGGTTCAGGTGGTTCCACCACGATTTCTTCGGTTGGGCCAGGGTAGACCCGGTTGCTTTCTTCATGGAATGTTACTGAAATACCAGACCTCTTCTCCGGAACTGGTTCGGCTGCAGGTACCACAGCATCCAGTGTGAGCTGAGGTGATGGCTCCTCAATGTGCGGCACCATCCCATTCCGCTTCGCGGGTTCGCTTCTCGGTTCGAAGGAAGGTGTCGTCGGCTCACTTGTCTCGTAAAATGGTCGTCTTCTAAATGATCCTCCTCGCGTTTCACCACATACTACTCCTCCTCCTCCTCCAGTTACAACTTCAGTTTCGCTTCGTGGACTTGACGATTCATAGACGGGCGTCAACTGCTTTGGTGGCTCATTGAAGCTCCGTCTTCTCGCTTCCGTTGCGACAGTCAATGTTGACGTTTTGATAACTGGGCTTGATGGCTCAAAGCTACGCTCAGCCTCAGCCACACCATAAAAGCTTGGCCGTCGAGCTGACGGCTCATCAACCACAACAGGTGGAGGCTCAGGTTCCGGCAATGGCTTTCCAAGAGCGTGGCTGGTGCTGTACTCAACATCTGTGGGGGCAATGTCCCCATATACTTCCTTCCGCGGCATCACAGAATCTGTTGCGTACTCTACAACTTTACCGTCTGGGTATTCAACCACCATTTGTCCATCTGGGTATTCTATGTAAGTAGCAGCATCTTCATCATCGTGCGTAGGTGAAAACTCTGGTATGGCAGAAGGTCTATCGACAGGTGAAAATGGTGCATAGGGTTCAGTCCGGTCTGCACCACTGAAGAAACCAGCACGGTCATAGCCACCGTATGTTCGCCTGTCTGCTCCTACGCCAGGCTGTGGTTGGCGAGGAAGGTCACGACGTGGAGTTGTACGTTCTTCAGTCCAGCAATTGTGTTCTTGGCTATATTCGTGCGGATAGTAGTGGTCTTCCTGCGGATAATTCCAGTCACCGACATGCGACAAGGGAGGGGAGCATTCACGGTAACTTTCATAGCTGTCTTGGTGCATTGGGTAGCCCTTCCCTTGAGGCGTGTCTGCACACAAAGATAAAAGAATGAGTGTAAATAGCAAAGAAATTCACACCACCAAACAACAGAAGAGCAAGACAGTTGGCTATGCGTTAAGTTACAGAAACAATACTGCATATTAACAACCAAGGTAGCAATCATGTGAAGGCCTTAGAACACAATGCTGAATCGCAAGTGAGCCAGCCAATCGCATCTGTAACTAAAAATAGTCCCATTCATACACTCGGCAATGTTCTCCAAAGCAGAGGTCACCAGAATTTCGGCTCAAGAGGTGAATCTAGAGTGTGCACCCAGTGGTGAAAGCATGCATGCATTCACGTGCACCTTTGAAGGAAAAATACTACAAACTTCTAAAACTGTATCCTCATTCTGGCTTGTGCTGCTTCCCAAAAAGTTGTCTACATTAGAGATGATTACTAAATTTCTTGTTTCGTGATTCCAGTCGTGACTTATTTTTGGAACTTGAGTGAGAACAGATGAATATTGTGATAAGGCATGTTGACCTTGTGGCAGTGATCGATATTACGTTCAGCACTGCTGCTGCTGTGGCTGAACAATGGCAAACAGGCACATATTTTACCTGGGTAGTCATATGGGTCATCGAAGCCATGCCTCTCAAAGCTGGCCTGACGCTCCAGGCTTGGCCGCTGGGCCAGGTGCCGCTTGGGATAGGCAGGTGAGTCAGGCCCAGCATCCCAGCCCTGGCGACGCCGGCCATCTTCACGATCGTCGTAACGTGTTGAGCTTCGAGGAGAGTCTTCATAGCTGCAGTCGACATTCCTTCCTGCAAGAGTAGGAAAAAATGTGAAATTGCTGCAATAATTAGACAACTATAAAGCTGAAGTGAACAAAAAGTAAATATGAGCAATTTTCTATGTGTACCATGTGAGAACATGATACCTTCTCTATATAGTCACCAGCAGGCTTATCGTATTTATTTAGGTGTTTGGCTTCTTGTTGGTTGACCCTTAATCATCAAGACTGAGTATACTTTGTTTGAAAATGGAAATGTTCAAGTTGACACAAAAAAATCAAATGCCAAGCAGTCCTTACCGCTGCAGTTGTACCACAGCTACTGGGAAATTCCCACCTTACTGAACGTAGTGAAGTCTTCCATTAGCAAAGTGCAGACAGAACTGATGTGTACTGGTAGTAATGGGGCAACAGAGGTCAGGTTTCAGACGTCATCCGAGCGCAATTCTCTTTTCTGCCAGGAAATCATCATGAGCAATGACTCGAATCAAATACATTATTGCTTTGGAGGGCAAATTCATTAAGCAATTGTGGAAAAAAACTGAAGAGAAGTATTTTCGGAGGTTTAGTGAAAAAGTCTTTTTTTTTTTTTTTGCTAAAGACATACTTTTCGGTCTAAAGTCAACATTATGGTCCAAACTACTTGGCATTCCCCGGTATATTGACTTCCATCTTTATCCTGACAAACGTTAAAATAAAACTTGATGCTTGCCACTGATCAGTTTTCACTAGTAGTTCACAACAAAATGACTTATTCTGATTCACAAAATTCAAGTCAAATGCACTGCATATGTATTTACTAGGCTTGTGCTAACAGTAAATTTTAAGTTCGAAGCGAATAGTGATTTAGTTAAAAAATGAGCATATTTGTCATGACCTAATTAACTTGTACAAAATTATTTTTAAGATTGAAGCAAAGCATGTGCAAAAGTTTAATTGTTTGCTTGTTTGTTTGTTTGTTTGTTTGAAGAAAGTGGAAGCAACTTTGAATAAAAGCAAGATTCGACTTTCGGTAAAATACAAGTGATAACCTGTAAAATATGTTCAATTTCAAAATTTGCTATACTATATATATAAAGTGGCATAACAAGCTTTTAACCATAATGAAGGAAAAATCTATGTAAGGGTAAAATGCTCATTTAACCTTGAAGTGAAGCTTCACAGCAGTACAGATTAAAAAAAAAAAAGATGTAATCTTGCTACAGCACCTCTACACTGCAGTGAAACCACATTGACAGGAGGTAACACGCTGATTATGTAAACCTATTAGTTCATTTCAAATACTTCGAGATTTCCTATTATTTATATTTGAATCGAAGCACGTTGAGTACATTATATTCATTAAAATATTCAAAGGCTCACATAATTGTGCAAGCTTAATATTTACCTGCATAGCCACAGATATTCTTTTAAAAATATTGGCTTATATGACAATTTTGTCATCACAGAAGCGAACTGCTGTGGGGAAATGGGCTTGCAATGTGGCCCACTGGCAACTTAACATCAAAAAGAAAAAGCTGAACATGGTGCCTAAGATTAGAACATTCAGCGAGAACATATAACAATGCCGTGAAGTTTTAGTAAAAAGGCAGCAGTCAGAATGAAATCTGCGTTTCACGTTATCAGAGTAATAAATGCAGGTCTTCATGCGGGTGAGTTGACAACAATGAAAAAAGGTATCACGATAAGACTTGCACTAAATTCTTCTAGTATTCGCACCAAAGTAACTGGGCATTCTCTTAGTGTGGTGGCAACCTTCTTTCCAGTGAATGTAGAAATGCATGCCGACTGAACCTCAATTAACATAAGACCCCATTTATTCACAAAAGTCAAAATGTGGTGAGTGACAGGCTGTTTTTGTAGTAAACGAGTTATAAGTTCGGGTACTCAGTGCATGTACACTCCTCCAGTACTAGTAACCTGCAAGACCACATGCAGGAAGCCAATAAAATAAATTTCCTCCATAATTTTAACAACTCATGCGACATACCATAAGCAGATGTAGCTCGCCATGCAAAGTGGTATTACTAATTGTAAATTACAACAAACATGCACTTTTAAATGTATTAAAAAAATTTTTTTTCTACTGCACTGGCTTTGTGTGAAATCTTTAACCTTTCGCGGTCCATTTTTGGCCCCTATTCAACCACACAACACTGCCAAAGAGAACTGTGATCTGGCACTGCTGGTCAAGTTCTTTCACGGTTGATTCATGCATGCGTTTTCTCACTACATTGCGCACCATCTGTAAAAGGGTAAAAACATTTTTCTTTTACTTGAGCTTAATTTTTTTTTACTTTGGACCGAAATGAACATAAGGTGAAAAAGGGTTTCAAACCACGAAGGATTACACTTGACATGGTGCTCTAGGTGCCTCCATTACTGAGTCGCAGTATTTTGGTCTTGAGAATAGAAAACTATAAATGTCATGTTAAAATTTGAAGGGGGAACCTGCTGCACTTTAAATGCACAATGCTACATAGCAAATTCAAAAGCACTGCAACACAGCTAATTGACACAAAGTGCTTACTTTCAATATAGACATGGTACTCTGATGAAACAAAGAAAAAAATGCATTTGGATGTATTTCATTGTTAAACAAGCAACTATTATATAGGCAACCGGGCCTTTAAAATGTGTACTTCTCAGTTGTTTGCATTATAAACATATACATATAGAACTTTTTATGCACCTGAATATACTTTGCATTTGCATCATAGGTAGTATACCTCATACCTATTACATATTTTCATTACAAGAAGGGCTTGCTCACTCCGCTTATAACATGTGCACAAAAGACATTTTCACCAGGGTGTGCATCATCACATGACTGCATTGCTATACAGTTCTGGTGACATGATGAAACAGAACTACACATGACATGACGGAGTTCTGAATAATCAAAAATATTGCATCACAACAAGGACGATACTTCAGTTTGCTTTGAACAACGACCTCTATGTACATACTGGTTCGCAAGTCTGCCTAGTTGACCTTTAATGAGACTAAACTTGGGTATCTGTAATACAGTAAAATCCCGTTATAACGAACCTCAGATTAACTATTTTTTCAGATTAACGAATATTTCGGAAATCCCCTACCAAATGTCCATTGGTTCAATGTAAAAATATTTCACTACTACGAATTTCAGAATAACGAATGTTTCAGAATAACGTATCAAATTTTATCACCCTGGTACCTTAAGAGCACTTCAAAATAATGAATTTCTAGCGTAAAAATTACGTGCGGCGGTCTAAATGCCCAGCGCCATATGTGGCACTATCATCATCATCAGAGCTCCTGCTCATTTCTCCATGCGTTGCCTTATGCTAAATGCGCACTAGCCTGGCTAGCCCTATCGCCATCGCCAGTACCTTGTTTTCGATGTTTTTTTTTTTTGCATGCTCGTTGAGCCAGGTTGAGCCTAACCTCGCCGCCATTGTTTTGTTACGTCGACCGGCAACGTCGCACGATTGTCGTACGGCTTTCTCGTTTTAAAGGTTAGAGTGATTCGTTTCTGCGTTCGCGATGAGCTCCGGAAGCAGTGCGAAAAAGAAACGGAGGCAGTTTTCTTTGAAAGAAAAAGTGGATATTCTTTCTCAAGTGGACGCCGGTAAAAAAAAATCCACATTGCAAACGAGATGGGGGTTGCACCATCAACTGTCGCGACCATCCTGAAGGACCGACAAAAGATCCTCGAGCTGCACCGAGGGTCCCAACTCGCACCGTCAAGAAAACGGCTCCGACTTGGGAATTTCCAAGAAGTGGATGCTGCAGTACTGACTTGGTTCAAGGACGCGCGTTCTCAAAATGTGCCGGTGTCGGGACCCATGCTGCAGGAAAAAGCCCGGCAATTCGCTGATGCTTTGGACATCACAGGCTTCGAAGCAAGCGCGGGGTGGCTTCATCGTTTCCGTGAAAGGAATGGAATCACCTGGCTAGTGGTGTCTGGTGAAGAGAAGGCGGCAGACGCAGCAAGCGCTGCTGCATGGAGGGACGAGAAGTTCCGCGAAATCGTCGCTTCATACTCCGAAGATGATATATTCAATGCGGACGAAATAGCGTTCTTCTATCAAATGCTTCCTGATAAAACCATGCATTTTAAAGGGAACAGCTGCAAAGGCGGCAAGCAGTCCAAAGTCCGGATTACGGTATTGTTATGCTGCAATTCCACAGGCACCAAGAAGCTGAAGCCCTTGGTGATCGGAAAATACAAGAAGCCTCGCTGCATGAGGAACGTTGTTTCATTGCCGTGTGATTATCGGGCTAATTCACGCGCGTGGATGACACGAGAGTTATTCTCTGAGTGCACTAAAGGTGGACAATGAGATGAGGAGCGCAGGTAGGAAAATCCTGATTATCGCCGACAACTGCTCGGCGCATCTTGTTAATGTCAGGCTGACAAATGTACAGCAGGAATTCTTGCCTCCGAACTGTACGTCCTTGCTCCAGCCACTGGACCAAGGCATCATAAAAAGTGTCAAGGCCCATTACCGGACACGCCTGGTTCAGCAATTGCTGATAAATCTTCGGATGAAGCTGCCTACCTCCATCAATGTGCGACAGGCCACAGAAATGGTTACCGGGGCCTGGTGGAGCGTTACATCAACCACCATCCAGAACTGCTGGAGGAAGGCAGGCTTGGTAGTACTAATGCCATCTGAATCTGAACAAGGCAGCGAAGAAAGCGACGCGAGTGGCATGTGGCAAGAAGTCGTCGAAAGACTCGCGATGGATGCCTCGGTGACATTCGAGGACTATGTGCAGTGCGACGACGAAGCATGCACGTCAGCCGAACTGACGACCGATGACATCGTCAGTGCTGTTCGTGGTGATAACAGCGACGAGGACGCCAATGGCGAAGACGACGCTGAGACCGCGCCCGTTAGCCAACCAGAAGAATCGCTTTCCAACGCCAACATCATGGAATGCGTGCGAAAGATGCGCACTTACCTTGGCAGGTGCAGCAATACCACCGAAGCAGAGCATAACAATGTGGACAACTTCGAAGCGTTCGTCCTGCGGCACTTGAGCGGCACCCGCCAGGCCAAGATCACCGACTTTTTCAAATAAACGTGCGCTCATTCCGGAATACTTCGCGTTTTGTTTCTTTTCACGCTCGTCATAAAATCAAGCGTTTGCGGATGTGTACACAGCAAAGGTAGGCGACTTTTTTTGTTGCATTTATGATTTTTAATGCGAATTTTCGATGTTTTCACTATAACGATATTTCAAAATAACGAGCTATTTTTCGCGGTCCCTTCAAATTCGTTGTATCGAGATTTCACTGTAGAACAAGAACTTGAAATCATGCCCACCTAGATGGCTCTCTATCGTAATCCCTGGTTCTCTGCGGAGGGCGGCTGTTGTAGTAGAGGGGCTCCTGGTAGCAGTCGGCACTGGAGTCAGCATATGTGGTGGGAAGCTGTGTGGTTCCTCCCCGGGCCAAATTCTGGGCTCCATATTGCGATGCTGAACTGTTGGCATGGTGCATTGAGGCACTTGGGTGTTGCTGTTGGGACTGCTGTGCAGACACTGGGTAGCCCACATCACTCGTGTAGTCACTGTCCTCCGAGACACCTGCTGCAGTTGTGCGCAAAAATACCAAAGGACAACATGTCGGCAACTTAATTGGGCTGGCCCTTGTCAAACAACTATAGTGGGAACCATACTGCGGATCCCTGCAATGAACTCTATACTGAACCTGCGAATCCATGTGAGCCCCTATTAAAAAAAAAATGTTTGCAAATGTCGCAGCGCGCGTGCTTTGTACATCCAAGAGTTCCCAATGTCTTCAGCACTAAAGTGTATAGACAAGCTGTAGAGCACAACATCATAAAGACGAAGGTGTAGCTAACAAAAACTAGAGATACAGCTTACAGGTTTGATCAATATAAGTTTTCAGTGCAGAGTTCTCGATTTAAGCTCACCATCCTTTTTCTTGATAACCAATATTAAATCTAAATTGTTTTCTAAAGAGTTTATACAATGCAATTTTCTCCATCGTGTGCAAAAAATAAGACTCATATATTCACCTTAGTTTATATAGCACACTCAGCACATTTTCTATTTGTGCCCCCACACCAAGACACGTTTGCCAAGACATTGTTCCTTCTCTCTGAATGTAGTGCATGCTCACGTACCACACAAACTCACATAAAGGCTCCACTTTTTTTTTTTGTAAACATTGACTTGTAGTTCAAAAGTTTGCAAGCAAATGACAGAAAGGCTGCAGCACCTATAAATTTTGCTTTACCACAGCACGCCATCCTAAGGGAAGGTAAAATTTCTTACATGTGCTTCAACACAGTAGTACTTGTGAGGCTACAAGTTAAAACACTACTGGGGTTTTCACATGAAATGTAAAAAGGTTGTTTTGTCCGATACCAGTCACATTTATCTAAGGCCGCGTAGGAATGGCGGAACCTACGGCACAAGTGCGTGCAATACAAAGTGCAAAGGCTGCACGCAGTACCCTGAAAATCCTACATACATTGCAACCACTCGCATGCATTGTGCAACAGAAGAAGCCACAGGGTGTCTGGATTAAAAATTTCACTGATGCTCAGTCTACTAGCATCTAACAAAAAACTTCAGAAGCAACAGAAGTGGAGAGATACACGTAATAAACATCTATGCACTTCACTGATGCTATGCTATTAAGGAGAGACGCTGGTCTTGAAATGAAAATTTTTATTATTGGAGATATTGTAATGAAATCAGGTGAGTTTATGTATTTGTTCCTCCTTTTTTCAAAAATATAATTAGTTTTAAAGTACATCAACAAGTTATAGAATTGTGAGAGCATAAGAAAAGTCTAATTTTATAATATATTACGGGTCGTTGAGGCACTTTCCCTCAATATTTTTAGGTTGTGTTTAAGATGCAGCTGTAGACAAAGACCTGCCATGTGGAGCTATGCTATTTATATTGTCACTGAAATACATCATCATATAAAAATTCTCATTTATATTGATGCCCCATAATTTTGAAATTTAATTAATTAGCTCACATTATCGCACAAAACATTTCATATGTCCCTCTTAGCCTCAAAAGATAGCATAGCTTCACAGTCCTGCTTCTTATGAGTTCAACGGTATAAAATTTTGTAAAATTACTTCACAAAAACATGATGAAAAGTTCTGTAAGGCTGGTCAGGTTGGCAAAAAATGTGAACCTGAGAAAATCGCATTTGAAGTTTTGACATGCACAGCAGAATTTTTTATAAGGGACTTTTGCCACAAACACATGTTTCCCACCTATTCCCCAGCTAAGCAAAACAAAATATGCCTCATTCCACCCTGGGAATCATTTCTAAAGAAATTTTTAATGTGGAAAGCATTATCAGAACCCCACCATGGCAAGCTCTTGAGGGGTTCTGAAAAAGCCATGAGGTACGAGGCTCAAACGACTAGCTGATAGGTAGCTTGCTGCCCTGGGTAATAAGCTACTGAGCCTTTAGAATATACAGTCAACATTCTGATTTCCCGGACCCTCAAGGGACCATGAAAATATCCGGAAAATCGGGCATCCGTCCAGAAAAACGAATACACGCAAAAATGCACCTCTTTTACAGGTGTTTTTCGCTCACGGAAAAGTTCATGGCAGGAGTACAATATTCCCGTTGCAATCATGCGAATGCATTGCTTAGGTGACTCTGAAAAGAGCCGTTTATTAAAAAAAAAATCTGATGGGGCCAGTGCTACCTCAATGGTCAACAAGTTGGCCCCAAAAAAAGTCTGCTATTTTATGCTTTTTTGAATGGCATTGTGCTTGTTCGCGATGACGTCTGCCCCGATTTCAGCTACACGGCATGCTTTTGCTGTTCAATGATGACAGTGTCATCAGTGCTTGCGTAAACTCCGAGCTCATTGGCTGTGTAGGCGCTGCCAAAAATTGGATGCAAGGGCTATAAGAGCTGACTCCAAGAAGGTCGAACTTTTGCTGGGTAGCCGGCTTTATCAACAAAACGGTCTTCGTTTGCGCCGATTTTTCAACTCGCATGCTCATGCTCCGCGGTTGAGTAGTACGCAGCATCAATCCGAAGTGTATCGCTTGTCGAACTTCGTCCCACGGCGTTGTCAGTAGATAGCATCCCAGTGTCGTTAAAGTTTCCGGCAGATCCAATGGGTCTGGCCGCAACTCTAACTCATCTGTCAGAGGCGCACTTGTAGCCGGCACCTTCTTGTTCCACTTTTTACGAAACAGGGCCATTTTTTACGGCTTTCAAAAGCTTGTCGTGCCAATGGTTTCACACAAGAATCTCCAGGCATCTCGATTGCTGTGGAAAAGTACCGGTGCGAAGTGAAAACATGGTGTGTCGAGACACATACGCGATCACAAAAGCAGACACACACAAACAGACAGCCACGGCGGCGAACGCAACACAGAGAAAAAAAAAGATGACCCGTCAGTCACGCCAGTCAATGGGAGACTCCGAAAGGCGCGCTTAAAAAGTGCACCGCGTAAGAGCCAAGCGGTGATCTGGAAACGACCTTCAGAAAACCTGTGACGGCAGCTATTATGCTGCCGTCACGTGTATATATATATATATATATATATATATATATATATATATATATATATATATATATATATATATATATATATATACACGTGAATGACAGCGGGAGCGGTGACCGCAAAAACCAGCCGGGACTGTCTATATTATTGCTAGTGCAATAAAAAACCAAAAGCTTTGTGGTCGGTATATAGCAGTTGGGCAGTATTTATGGCACTGCATTTTTTTCTTTGTTGCTGCTATTACGAGATGCAAATTTGTGCATGACGATTACTTAGTATTCTTTTTCACTGTATAGTTATGCCACAGGTTAGTGTTAATTACGTTTTACTGTACACAATTGTTCTATGCACATCCAACTCCCACTCATCACAGGCTCACAACAAAGCAAACATTAAAATGAGGGCCATAGAGGTTGACGAAATTCCTTTCTTTATTTCAGTCTCTTTCTCACTTTTGCTATCTATATTTGCTTTTTTCCTATCTTCCTTTCTCTCTTTCTACATTCTCAGTCGCTTCCTCCTCCTTCCTATATTTATCTCTCTCTCTATCTCTCACTTTATTCCTTTTTCTTCCTTTCATCAACTATTTTTTTCTCTTTCTTTTTGCATTTATTAAAAATTCCCTCTATTTATCTCCTACTCATTCTTTATATGCTAACTTTATTCTCTTCCCTCCTCCTCACCATCACATCTCTGGTCTCTCACTTCTCTTTCCCACTCCCTCGCTACACTATACTAAACAAGGCTATGCTATTTATTCTTTGCCAACTTGCCTGGACAGTTTAGGATTGCTTGCCTACAGATCGAGGGCACGCTGGTTGGAATCCTGCCTTGTGAAGAATTATTTTGGCAGTAATATTTTTTAGTTTTGCTTTCTTTCTCACTGTACTTGTTACGTCACCCATCAGGGTTAATACAGGCTACGCATAAGAAATTAGGGCATGTTTTCTGGAAGTGAAGCAGAAGAGGATAAAGATGAAGAGAATGTAGAGACTGGGCACCAGTTCACGATGTTGATCATGTTGGTTTTGGACAGACAAACTACGATGACCTGCTATGCCTTCGCTGTTAAAATTGTCTTTACAATGAGCATCGCTTCAACACGAACTGTTTTACTGTGAAAGAGTCACAGTGATAAAGTGAAAGCTTGTTCATTTGACTCCCGTAAATTTGAAATATAATTTAAAAGTGTATGGGTTCGAGCATGTTGGTAAGGCTTCAGTGGTGCAAAACAGTGCAAAAACAATGAGGACACAGAGAGAAACAGACGGGATCAAGCGCTGAACAACCAACCAGGAGAGCACAGAAACAATTTGCTTTTTCACATGAGAAGAGGGGGAGGGTGTTGAGAGAGTGCAGGCACCTTATCATATACATTGCATATATTTAACGGTGCAGATAGCTATTCTCCCAGTCAGTTAATGCTATTGAGGGTGTGCAGAGACATACCAACCCCATATTATGCATTTCCAAGGCTCCATAGCTTTCTTGAGCTTGGGAATCTCGAGAACTGCAAATGATGTGTGTGTCTACTGAAATAGGGGCTACACCTGCACCTAGCGCAAGGAATTGCCGAATCGCTGCCCGTCTTGATTCCGAGATTGCTGGCGTGTTCTCGTAGGCAGTCATTAACACACTGGCCCACCTGACCGATGACGTCGAGACCTCGTACCCCATATCAGATAATACAGGTGTCTTCGTATTCAGTAGAGCCATATGTATTCAGTAGAAGCTTGTTCAGTTTTTAAAGGAGCAGAAAAAGTTTCAGGATTAATGGAACGACACATTATCGAAAGAATCAAGAAACCAAACTTATGTTTGTCACATCAATATGGCTTCATTTTCTTGATGAATAATAACTGCTGCACTTATTTTGCATAATGGCAGGGTAAAAGCAACAATTTTTATAATCCTATGACTCTTTTCTAAATGCGATCACAGAACTAGACTCTTGTTTTTAATTAGACCAAAACACACTCTGTACTTCTCTCTTATTATGTACTGTCACCACCACTGCACGCAGGGGACAATAGTTATTTCCCAAAGAAAATTGGGAACAACTCATAATTTGTCTACTAAGTACGATGTAGCAAGAGAGTTTTATGCCAGCATACTGACCGTGGCTAAAAGCTCTTCGTCTTCAGCAGCTTCCACCTTAATTAAGCTTTGTGATATCACACATACATTGCATCAAGTTAAAACAAGGCTCCTGAGTGATGGATTAAGATGTGGACCAAAGTCTGGTCGCTAACCGATGAAGACAGCAATGCAGACAGCGTCACCTCATTTCACTTGTTTGTAAATGTAGTTTTCACTGTTTTGCGTCACACATTTGCAGCACTTCATGCTGAAAGCGCCCTGAGGATGATGCAAGAAAACTGGGGTGTGAGCAAATCTGACTGAAATAGCGAGTTTGGTGCAACTAAAAAATTTGTGTTGGCAGTGACCAGGAAATGCATTTTTATTCGATTCCTAATTAAGAAGGATTAAACTAGTGAGCTTTTCTTGAACTTTAATGGCATCAAACTTTCATTTATTCAGTATTATTAGGCCACAACTTGGTTGATTAGGACAATCATCAGAGCACCACATGCACGAAATGTTGCAAATGTGCAACACAAAGGAGCGAAAACAGCGTTCACGAACCAAATGGCCACAGGCCTTCAGTAAAGCATGGTCACCTTAGGCGTGTGCCAAGAAGGGGTGCCCACATTAGGCATCTAAGAGGGGAGCATAAAATCAGCTCTACAAACATAATGGGAAGGGGGGCACTGAGACGAACGATTGCCCCCCCCCCCCCCCCTGAAGGGGAACCCTGCACATCTCTATGGTGGTTATCATCCAGTCTTACTACAATCGCATTGTTAGTGACCAAGGCTTCAGTAGCGATTGCCCGCTTGTTTCATTACTATTTTGCTCCTAACACACAAACAGTGAGGGCTCTATCTATAACCACGTCGATAGTACTTGCAGTCAAAGCTGCAACAAACAGTAGTTTTGTTTTCGCCATGTACCTTCAGAAATGCGTAGTCACCACAATTCATAATTGTGCATTAGCGAGCCAGGTTTATTGAGCAGCAGGTGCTGTGTCAGGAGTTTCATTTCGATTCGGGGTGTAGTTGAAGGAATTCCTATAATACTGTGTGGATGCTATGCTCATGTTTTTAGCTACCATGGTTTTGTCCATGGTGTGTGCGGCACACATTACCTTCATTTCAAATTTGGCAATATGTGTGCAGTGTCACAAAATTGAGACACTGTGGAAGATTTTGAAGACAGGGCTTCAACCATGGCCTACATGCTGGCTTAAAGTTGGCTTGCTCATTGTACACTCAAACCTGAATACAATAAACCTGAATATAACAAAATATTGGTTATAATAAAGTAAATAAAAATTAGTTTTGCAATAAATATAGTGTTAGGAATCTATGCCTTATGACGAATTTTAGGATATAACGAACTTATTTTCGTGTCACATGCAACTTCGTTATAATGAGGTTTTAGTGTAATAGATTAAGGCTGGCCATTTTTCCAAGAAAATTTTGGTGGTGTTGGTGGTGTTGGTACGCATAATAAACTAAAAGAGATTGGCTAAAGCAATGTTCTGGCTTAAGAGGCAGAGGTCTTGAGCCAAGGTCACATTATGAATGAAGTCGCGAACGACAAAAATTGAGGCTTTAGCACTGCTCTTTCGGAAAATAATTACTAGATTTATGTAATCCAGAAAACAAAGATGCACTAATCTAATAGGCACTTGTTTATTATTTTCTTGATACTTTAAAAAAAGCGGCATTGAGTTGATTCGGACATTTTATCCAGTCCTGTACAATCCAAACAAACTTTTACTGTGTGGAAAGCACACACCATAAAACTCGACTGTGAAACATGTGTAAATCAGACAGACTGAAACAAATTTGCGCTTTGCAGTATCGATATGACATTGTTGAAATTTCATACTGCAGTCTCTGCTGGTAATTGTTGTATGATAACCAATATGAAGCTGTAATGACATACTGTAAGAATAGTCCTAACAGCTTTCCTCAACTCATAAGATCGATACAAAGAAAAGAAAATCAATAGGTCTCCATTTAAGCTCCAACAGCATTTATATTCAAGTTTCATGCTTCACAATCTGTACTGTGAGAAGCCTTACACACTTTGTTTTGAACGTTTAAGAACAAAATTAATAGAGTGCATTAGGAACAACTTTAAGTAAACTGGCATTTCAACTTCTGGTATTTCAAATGAAGCGATTCTGTTAAAGGAAGGTTTGCAAATGCACATAACTGTGCAAAAAAAAGAGAAAGCATTCATATCTAAAAGCTGCCTTTTGATTTTAGGTTCGTATTGTGCCTACTTACAGTTTAATGTATGAAGTGGTCTTTTCTGCTGTTCCCGATACGAGGTCACCTAAAAAAAATATTCACAAATCAAAATGGCAATTTGAGAAAAGTATGCGTTTAGGTGAGTTGGTGAAGTATATTTCACGACAGTGAAGTACAAAAGGTATATAGGGTGAAACGAAGACAAGAGATACAGGGCATGTGCTGCTAAGAAGCATGAACGCTTACTTGGGCATTTTCACAGCAGCAACACAATGCACATACACTACCAAGACACTCCACGACTAGCCACACAAAATGGCCAGACAGCAAAAGTTTGAAATATGTACATGTCTATTGATGCATCTTCCATCTTGTCGTAACAGACAACTAGCATGCAAGTCATAAGAACTGAACAGTTAGATTAGTTTAGTTGTAGAAACCCATAAAATCCATTCTAATGTTAGCGAGTGCCATCAAGTCCTGTTAATCGAGTAAAGAATTTGCTATTGACACCACGTTCAGGAATTTGTGTTCTAGTTTTGTTTTTTATGGCTATAAACCTCTACATTTTTCAACCGCAGATAGGAATGCTGCATTTAAACATTTCGTTCTCGTTCATCTAATGTAATGCTTGTAATGCAGGGACTGGTCTGCCTGCCTAAGCATGTTTCATGGGTTACTCAAGCCAACATACTCAAGCCCAATGATCGTACCTCATAACATGCATTCACACATACACGATTGTTTTTGTTGTCTGCCCCTTCAATGTTGGTTTCAGAGTATCTTGGCTGCATACACATATTGTCATGCTGCAGCAAAAAAAGACTGCGTTAAAAAAGCAGCTTCAGAAAAGCTTAACAACAAAGTTTTGAAGAATAAGAAAAAAGATGCTTAATCAAGATTTTTGTGCGTAAAATCACAAATATTTAATTAATCAAGTAATAATTCCATGCTACAGGTTATATTATTCTAAATAGGTTAATTGCCTATGTATTTTATGAGATTAATCTTTTGACAAACAGAGTCATTTATCAATGTTAGAAACCTCAACTTGATAGAGTTTAGTTTCTAACGAACTGTTTTTGTTTTCCAATTTTAACTATTCAAAACAGCATTATTCGATTTTTTGGAGAATTAGAGAAGTAACTAGGTGGTGCATGATAACACAAACTTGTTGTGCCTTCTCCACACTCAGCCTCTTATGAGAAATTAAAAATTGGCAAGCATTTATTAAAATAGAACCAATCTCTTTTACAGGTCACCATTCACACAGAAACATTGACAGAAAGTGACAAGAAAAATGACCGAATGAAAGTAATGGAACATGTGGCATTTTGCTATCACTTTTACACTCACCACAGATGGCTCTACGCTTTAACTAGTAGTATGGCTGCCAGCTCAATTTACCGTGAAATATCATGCACTTTTTTCAATCACAAATGCCACCTGAACCTTCGTAATGACAGCAAACATCCCAGCATAGCAGGTGCATAGTAAGCAACACACAGAACACAAATCAGTTGATTCAATAAGTGCCACTAGGTGGCAGGTATCACGTTCAAAACAAAAAGGCACCAGTTCGTGCCCTGTTCAAATCGCTGTTCAAATCACTGTTCAAGTGCAGACACATGCCTCACGGGAAGCAGGACTAGTTGTCCACTATGCCCCGATATTTGTTGTCAAAGTTTAAAAATGTTTTTTGGCAATTACACACTCTGCTACTGCATAATTATGTGAGAAAGCTGAAATTTTGCACTTGCTTTGAGGTTCCTTTCAGGTCCTGAGGCGAATCGTCGGGCTACTCTGCTCTCTTTTTTGCCTGCCGTACTTCAGTATGCTCACTAATTACATACAGGACCATATTCTCAAAAATTAGAGTTTAAGGGGGGACGCGGCTTTGGGATCGCGAAAAATGGCAAAAAAATCGATTTTTTGAAACTCAAGTTTTCAGTTTCTGGAACCCTTTTTCTATCTGGTTCCAAAATATCTACACTGAAAACCGCGCAGAAGTGCTTCGGAAAATTCGTTTCACCCACCTAGGTAGCAAAAATATTTCTGGAAATGGCGAGAAAACGGCGATTTTCAAAAAATAATAACTTCGCTATGCTTGGGCCGGGAGCCGGCTTCTTGGGCTCATCGGAAAGAGCATTTTTCCGTGTTTAACTTTCCCGCCTCAGCTGGCTCCTCCCTCTAACAACAAGCGAGCAAAAAGCAAATGTTTGAAGGTCGTTTTGAGGCCCTTGATTGGCCGTGGCCGCCATGTTGCCTCAGCTCGCCTCGCCATTGGCCCGATGCTCGCTCCGGGAGATCGTCGTCTGCTGCTTGTGCGTCGCGAGGACATGGCCCTCGAAAATCGCCACTTCGTGACGTGTTCACGGCTTGATAATCACTTAAGATATAACTACGCTTTAGTTACGAGCAGTAAGCGGATGCGCGATCAGGTTACTACGAGCGTGAGCGCCGTCTACGAGCGCCGCGCGTCATTGAAGTTGTCTTTAGCCCTAACTCCGCCGACTGCGGGCAGGAACGACCCGCTAGCGCATTTGTGGCGACGTGCTTCTTCGCAAGCAACGAAGCTGTAAGCGGCGGCACGATCTGATTACTACGAGTGGCCGCACCGGATGCACGATCAGATTACTACGAGCGGGCGCGCGGCGGTCTACGAAAGCGGCGCGTCATCGGAGTCGGCTTTAGGCTTAACTCCGCTGACAGCGAGACTGCGGGCAGGAACGACGCGCAAGCGCACTCTTGGTGACGTGCTTCTTCGCAAGGAATGTACCACATCACTCGCTAGCTCCTCCGAATATTGTACGGGCATTTTACGCATCGGCAGCGGACAACACAGTCAAGCTCGTCACCCCCCCCCCCCCCCCTTCACTGCCAAGGATCGCTCGGAACAGCGGCTAGCAGTTTCGCGCGTCGTCATTCGAAAATGCGATGCCAAGTGCAGTGCGTGCCGATTTTTTGTCTTCGTAGTTACTCATTTTGCGGATCGTCATCGAACGCCGCCGGCAAGTGCATTACGCGCCGGCTGCACTGTCCACGCGGCCGCGCACCCCACGGTCATATGGAGTGCCGTCAGTAAGATTTTGTGATGCGATTCAGATGTGCTTGGAGCCGTGCTTGATATCTCCACGAACGTCTATGAATGTTCCGAGGTTAATGAATTGCTGTAGATTAGAATTTCCGCGACCGGCTGTATGATGATGCGTTTCACGGCTAGAGCGGCGAAAGAGCATGTGTGAATCAGGGGCACGAATTTTTATATGCCCGTTTCGTGTCATTAATTATACTGATAGAAATTCCCCTGCCACCAGTCTTCTGCCCATAACTTTGTTATTTGGAAAGAAGGCATAGGCCGTCATAGTGTGATCCATTTTTCTGATGCAATAAACTTCTCTCCAAATAAAAAAAAGTTGAGTGAATATTTGTAATCAAGTACTTAATTACGCTAATTACAACTTCAGCACAAAAAAGTATGTTTAATAATTTCAGTATATGGTTTTATTCAATTACAATCTTTTCTGTCATACTTATCACACCACTCCTTCATACAAAGAACTTGGTTTGAAATTCATACTTGTTCTTTGTAACTCATGAAAAGGAGTAAATCATGAAAAGAAGTCAAATATCACAAGACAAACCTGAGATCACAATTTTTAGGTGTCTTAGAGACGTAAAGAAAAGTTTAGACTTTAAACGCAGCTTTCTCAATACTTTTTTTTTTTTTTTTTTCACATTATGCTCAGCCCCTCCACATGGTTCAGTGAAGAAATAATTTGTTTCTCGTAAAGTATTTGTGGTATCGCTTCAAAATTTTTATGAAAACACTGTGAGGTTATTCTTAGTGTCTGTGCCAATTTTCATCAATATCCAACGAGAAACAAAAAAGTTCATTGAAAAAAAGCCTGTCGAAAACTTCGACAGGCTTTTTCTCACAAGTGTGTTTTGGACATTGTGCATTGCTCGTGGAAAGAGTAGCACGAGAATGACTGGACCGATTTTGATTCTGTTTTTTTTCCCTGAATCCCTGAACACTGCTTGTGGGTACAGCAATCTTCAATTTCTGTTTTGTGGCCCTGTTATTTTTCTAGACGATGATTTGTCCGTGCCATTGTTCCTGACAATGTGTGTCGGCAGCCATGATGATCTCTAAAAAGAAAACGAGAACTTATTAAAAAATTCCGAGAGTGTCATACCCTGTAGCTTTCTTTTGAGTAAAGATCAACATCATTCGCAGCTTCCTGGCATGTTTTGTTGCAGCGCTAGGCTTTCCACGAGCAGACCATGTAATTGGATCGTGTAGCATTATGTAACTTGAGAACTACTGAAGCTATCATGATGAAACTGCATATTTCCCTATTCTAGACACTTATGAGTATGCATGCCAAATTTCATTGCTGTAGGTCAACAAATAAAAAAGTTTTTTTTCAAAGCCACCTCCCCCCTTAATTATTCTGTTCAGGTATGGAAACTGCGATTAAACATGGCTAATGACATGATGAGTTCTTTTTATGCAATTATCGCTTCACTATATCATGTTTGGCTTTAGTAGGTATCCCAAACTGCTCTGCTTGCTTTTCTTGGGCTTGCATGTGTGTTTCAGTGTGTTATGGAGAAGCAACTGAAATAAACAGCACCAAAATTCTATATAGCATGTAAAAGGAGGCATCAAAATACCTTTCCACCAGAACACTTCCATTCATCATACTTCAAAAAATGTAAAATTTTACCTGGAGAACTGATTTAAACACTTTTGAAATGGGTGCATCTTCGTGACACCTCAACTACTTGTGAAATAATAAATGGGTAATGAAAGCACTGAGTGAGGGTCCCTTGTCGCATGGGTAAGTTTAACTGGTGTTATACCCAACTGTATTTAGCAGACGTAACCAGTTACTGTAAACCAGACAGAGGCGCTGACACACGTTTGTAGCATGGATAAACTTGTGCATATGTAACGAACACAATTTTAGCTTTAGTTCAGGCTGACATTGAAAATGCATAGTGCCATTAGTAGCAGATGATTTCACAAGTTCAAGAACTGCCCCATCCTGCATAAAATCTATTTGTTTCAAACGCATAGCTACATGTTCAAAACAATGCGGTAACTACCAAGGTGCAGAACTGCGCGGCTTGGTAGCTTCCTCGTTGTAAAGGTGGAGGCCTAATTAAAATAGCAAATTTCTTATTGCAGCTTACACACATTTGCTAAGACACGTTGTCGGGCTAGTTGGTTGGGGTTCATCATTTATAAGGTATAGCGCACCACGACAAGGACACAAAAAGAGAGATGCACACACACACACAGCGCTATACTTGCAACTATTGTTTTATTTGCGACCACACATGCTATTTATACAGCAACAGTGGACTGATAAAACCTGGAACATATCATGCTAAGATACAGCACGCCTCGTGCATGCATCATCATCCATCGCGACAACCTGAGCTCGCTAACGACAAAATGAAGATTCCAGATACTTCTTTTCTTTAGCTGACAAAGGTATCGAAGCCACACTCACACATTTATCTTTTATTTTGTCAATTTCAATAGCGCTGTGTGTGTGTGTGTATATCTTTTTGTGTCCTTGTCGTGGTGTGCTATACCTTTATAAATTATGAACATATGATTTATACATGTAATTCATCTTCACAAATGCATATCAATGCCTCCGTCATCGCAACAGTCCAGTTGACGTCCTTATGGCTGGATATTTCGCTAGGAGCCAAGCTGCTCGTGTCTGACATTGGGGCCGCCATGTTGTCAGTTTATGACGCTAACAGGGGCTGCCTACCTCCTTTCCTTAAAATGGTCGTTAGTGGATTAACTGTGATTAAGGTTGTCATTGTCGTGTGACTATGTACAACAGTCGTTAGACTTGACAGCCATCCTACTTAACTGTGGTTAGACTACCTGTGTGACAAAGGCATAAGTAGTTGTTAGACTTGACGGCCATCGTACTTAACTGTGGTTAGACTACCTGTGTGACAAAGGCATAAGTAGTCATATATGTAGTACTGATTGAATGAATCGGAATGCAAATATTATCTAAAAGAATCAACTCAACAAACAAGAAATGAAATGTTCTTGCCTCCTGGTCCATGATGCTATTGAGCATTTCCAGTTTCTCTTGCAACTCAGGTGTGTCATCCTGGAGATCTATAAATACAGGCAAAAAGAGTGGAAGTCATTCCTAACAGCTCAATGTCCACAATTCAAAAGAAATGCAAGGTCCAGTTAACAAACACTTACAGCTTTGCTGTTTGGTATGTGGCTTCATGACTGGCTAAATTATCTATCTCGCATTCTTTTCAGTAAGCAGGTGCCATAGTGAAACAGCACTTGACCCATTTGATCTCATGCAAGTCTTATGTGCTATATAGCACACTAACAAAAAATACCAAGTCACAAAACATACAAGCAAAATCAAATGAATACGCTGCCTACGTGACCGTGGAGGAATAACGCAGCGAATGCAAGTGGTTTCACGAAAATTAACAGCAACAATATCAAAATTGGGAACGAAAAATAAAACAGATCGCTGGACAAGGGAATCTGAACAAAATCAATTTTTCGCACACAAATGCAAATGCTACACCCAGATTATCTTTTGCCATTACCACTTACTGAACACTTTAAAATACAACTACAGCAAAAACCTCCACAGTCGTGCGCAGCTGTACAAAAAAAGAAACTGAGTACATTAAAATTTTTGTAATATTCATATTTTTATCCTGCTACCACTGTGTAGAGTATTGAGTAACATTTTTGTAGATTTGCTTGCTTTTAAAATGTCCTTTTTTTTTTTTGCTCAGCAACACCCCAAGCCATCACATTGAAGTAGTTGCAACAAGAACAGCTAAAGTTAGCATGTATCCTATGAGCATCTAGCCATGCATGATCTTGCATTGCTTGTTCATAAGGCTACTTCATAAGGCTCTTTATCTTAATGTACACGGCTCAGTTAAACGTGGACTGCTCGGTTATACTAACTAATCTACGTGATGTGTCAACATGCATGCATAGCGTTAAGTATTGCTCTGAAACTCTACGAAAGTACTGACACAAAAATTGGTTTGTCTGTAAAAACATTTAGTGATTGTGTTTGCAAACGATTTAATATATGATGAATATCAGTGGCCTTTAAACAACCCGAAATGATGTAGAAGGTTAGACTCCAATGAAACATTAAAGCGAGTGTAACAACAGCAGCAACAACAAAAAAGGTCAAGACATTATTAGCTCTGAAATTTCAGTTATTCATGTAGCATTATAAAGGGTGCTTGTGTTTCTGTTCATTGTGTGCTAATGTTGGGAAAATAAAAAACGCGGGGTGAGGCATTCAAACAAGCAGTCTTTCTTGTGAAGGAACAACAGGTACCGCTCACAGCAATTTTGCCATAGGGCAATTTCATTCACCCAAACAGATCCAAGGCCACGCAAAATTGCAAATACACTATAGGGATGTGCAAATACAATAAATTTTAGGTTCAAAATGAATGCGTAGAAAATAGCAATTTGGTCGAATTATTTCTAATTAAATGGTCGGAATAGTATATGTAAAAGACAAAGACTGACGGCATGCCCGCTTCTTCTTCCCTTCAGTCGCCGTTTCCGTTTCTGTACCTGCCTAGATCGTGGTCTGAGTTTTACGGCACCGTATATTAAGAATAAGGACCCATGGTCGCAGAAATGGACGATGATGTTTACTTATTAAGGACTAGCTTCACATCCCTCACTTCTTTCCTCTCCTGATTTCCATCTCTCACACCTTTCCGCATCTTCCTTTCCATCCATCACATGTTATAAAGAAAAATACTAAGCATATCAGTCACAAACCAACTAACTTGAACAATACATTTAAAATTAGTTAGGTTTTTCTTTTTCTTTTTTTTTTGAAATGAAGTGCAAGTCACTTTGAATAGTAGCAGGATTTGAATTTCAGTAGGATGCAAGAAATCACTAGTAAAATACATTTTGTTTTAAAAATTATCAAGAGCCTTTAGGCCCAAATATCAATCTCTTACTAAAGCACTTTTTACCAATGTGTGGGCGATATATTCATTTATACTTAACAATCATTGGGTTTTAACGTCCCAAAACTACCATGAGATTATGAGAGACGCCGTAGTGGAGGGCCTCGAAAATTTCAACCACCTGGGTATCTTAAACATGCACCTAAATCTAGGCACACAGACTGCGAGCATTATCACCTCTATTGGAAAAGTAGTCAGCGTGGCCGGGATTCAATCCCGCGATCTGCGGGTCACCAGCCGAAGCCTTAGCCACTAGACCACTGTGGCGGGTATTCATTTAATCTTGAAGAGGGCTTCGCGGCAGTGCGAATTTTTTTTCGATAGGTGTTTCCCACGGTATATCAATTCTACGCAGCAGCCAAAGCACATTTAGAGGATGTCACAAGCTGTCTGGTATATAGCTATTGACTTTATGTTAAAAAGCTGATTTTGCGATATTCCAGTGTCGGCGTAGTTGGTTGTGAGAAAAAAAAAACATCTTGTTTGTTAATGAAAAACTGAGACAGTAGTGAGTAAAATATATAATAAAAACTTCGGTCTGAGTGAGAATCGAACACAGGCTTTCTGTAAGTGTTCTACAATAGAAAAACGCTATTACCACAAACCACTCCGGGAAATAAACTACTTTATTAATTTATTGCAGTGGAAAAAGCCATGCAGTGGAACAAATATGATATTGCCTGGCAGAAGCGTCGAATTGTGTCGGAACAAGTCAATCGCTCAGGTGGTGGGTGTTTTACGCCCACCTATTAGAAATAGCTCGAACATATTTAATCGTCATTAGCTCAAAAGCATCAGCAAAGTTAACAATGGCGTAGGTTTGCACGTTGCTTTACAAGCACACAGTGGGATGTTCGCTGATTCACAAAAGGAAGAAGTGTGGCTTAGCAGGCACTCAACAACCGTACTTGCAGTAGGCATTATAGGATAGTTTGCAATGGCCAATGTTACGCACACAGTCATCCATTTCCTTACGGCACAGTTGAGGAATGCACCGGAAACCAAAGTGAGGCTACCAGTTGAGAAGGCAATGCGTACTGGGCCTAATTAAACTATCGTGTACTACTATTGTAGGCAAAGCTCAAGCGCCCTCCATTTTTTTTATTCATTTCGACTTTGCAATCTTGAATAACTGAAGTTCGGATTGTTGCGAATTTGAATACTGTAATATTCGTTCAAATATACAAAGTGCTCGAATATTCGCACGCTTAAAATACATCCATGCATCTGTTGAATTTCACAGCATTTCTTTGGCCACTGCTCTGTTGACCGGAGCTAGACTTAAATTTGGCATTGATTACACAGTACCTATAGCAAGCTGAAGATCTTGTGGCTTAAACAAAGAGAAACAGAGACACATTCAAGCATTCTGATCATATGAAAGGGTAAAAATTGATGAGGTGTCAGTACCCTGTAAGTACTAGTTGTTTTAAATGGGAGCTACAGAACCATGTGTGAGTAGCATACCTCGCTGCCAAGCCAAGACAACTATAATATGCAACTGAGCAAGCAGATGGTCCAATACACTCACATGTGGTGATGCCAATATCGTGGTACTATATATGACAACCATGAACCATGCACCAGGGCTGCTCACAATAAGCCCTATTTACCTAAACTAAGTGCCTTTCGCAAAGCCAGTTGGACTAAAAAAGTCGCCGTGTGAAGTAGATAAAGTGAGGCAGTCGGGATATGCTGGCTCTCGCCTTAACTTACACAATCTTTGTGATATGCGATTATTTTAATTTATTCTGTCTAAAATTTTAGCAGCTCTTTAAACATGAGTCAGTCATCTGCACATTGGCCCTAACTTTGAACAAATATATCAGCTCATGCAATAGGTAAGTAATGAAACAAATACTCCTCTGCCTTATTGACAGACATAGTGAACAATTCCAGACCATTGTGTGACCATGTACACGTAAAATAATCTGGTATAACCCATATCAAGATGACTGTCCATATTAGAGGTCTGTAATTTACTCCAGCTAGCAGGTTGCGGTCACGAAATCTGTTCTCTTAAAATGTTTAGCCGTGCAATGAACTTGGTTGGTTTGTAGTTGTTCACAATTCTTTCTTGTGCTTCGCATTACGAAGCACAAAGGACGAAAGGGGGACAGTGGGACAGGTAGTGTGCAAACTGGTTATGTTTCAACGTTTCCCGGCCTCTCTCGTAACACCCATGATCCGGTCCTTTGCTATTCGTAATGCAAAGCACAAGAAGAAATGATAAACTACTGAAAGGGCCAGGTCAGGCCTTAATACCATAGCATGAAGGGCAGTTTGGACAAAATGTCAGCTAATGTTTCTATTTGAAAGACGACCTTTCCCATAGCTCATATAAGAGAAAATTTCAGAAAGGCATTTGGCATGAGGATTCGAGAAACATATGCTGATCTCCAGAGTGACTAAAATGCAGCCATCAATTCTTGAATATAGAGTTTTTGCTGGGCAGTTCTATTTCACTGTATGGTGACCACATGGGGTGCCTATGGAAGAGAAATAATTGAGACCAGTAATGCCTACATAGTCTACCGACATACTTATTTGGAAAATTTTTTTTTTAAAAACTGTCTTGCGAGAACCGGGCCACACGCAGACCGCAGGCCACAAGTTTGAGACCCCTGGTCAAGGTTGTGCGAGTTGCACGTCAAAGGGGGTGACGGGCATTCCCTCAGTGCCCCACATTAATGGTATATAGTAAGCCTTTTTCCTGCAGCACATCGTTAATCACTTGTGCAAACACCCTTTGCTAATGGTGCTGTCTATTTAACCCATATTGAACAACTCCAACACATAAAACATAGCCCTGATCTCTGTGCACTTTTTTCTTTTCTGAAGGTTATGAACAAGTACACATAGTGCAGGTGGTTTCATATTTTTCTTTGAATTACCATTAATCTGTGTTGCTGTCCAGATACAGAAATCTCCGAGAAATACAGCATGCGACAAAGGAAGCCCGTAGAGTGGCAGTGCCTTCTAGCAGCCACAGCGCCACAAAAAATGTGGATGGCCAGATCACACGGCGGCACGTGACTGGTTTCCATGGCAAACAAAACCACGGCGATTTCCTTTTTTAGTGCTAGATGCTATAGAATGACAGCTGCTCCACAAAAGCTAGAC